CAGTACCAACCAATATAGCTCCATCAGTACCGTTACCGCCTGTTTCCTTCTCAGAGCCATCAGAAGATTCCTCTAGTTCAGACGAACTCTCCACTCAAGGAGACGATGCTGACTTTCCATCCCCTCCTCTGGATGTTGAGGCCAATCTCCCCATTTCGCCTTCAGAGGATGGCAAGTTGTATGGTGACCTTATCCAACGGATGGCGTTGGACCTCTCCATGACCCCCGCCTTGGTGCCCCAGGTGGTAGATGACAATGTTTTTGATATTATGCAATCTGGCACGTCATCCTCCGTGGCACTACCCATGACCAAGGTGATGTTAAGAACCACGAAAGAATCATGGGATCACCCTTCCTCAATACCGGTGTCCATCAAACGACTGAATCACATGTACAAGATCCAAGAAACAGGAGTAGAATTTCTGTTTACTCGCCCCAAACCGAATTCGCTTGTGGTCAACTCTTCCACCAAGGGAAAATCGAGCCGCTCTACTCCTTCAGATAAGGAGGAAAAAAAGATCGATTCCATGGGAAGGAAATCTTATACTGCGGAAGCATTGGGCGTTAAAACCTCCAGTTATGCTGTGTGCATGGGACACTACCAATTCAACCTCTGGAAACACATGTCAGAGTTTTTAGCTCACCTTCCTAGAGAATACTGTTCCCAAGCTAAAGGAATTCAGAATGAAGGGATGATGCTTGCCAGGCATCAGATTAGTGCTGCAAAGCACACTTTGGAGTCGGCAGCCAAGACTCTTACAACTTCAGTTGCATTATGCAGGCATGCGTGGCTCCATTCTTCATCCCTTCCTTTTGACACTCGGTCCACTGTGGAAGATCTCCCTTTTGAGGTTGTCAGCTTATTCTGTTCGACCACGGATTCCGTGCTCCAAGAATTGGATAAAAGTATTAAGACATCTCGTAGCCTTGGGATTTCTCCATCACCGAAATACAGCAAGCCCAAGCAGTGGCCTCGGCAGTCATGGTCGCACAGGCCGTCATCTTCAAAATCTCCCACCGAACAACAGTGGCAGAGACCACCTCACTCCCAGTCTCGTTCTTTTGGGAACAAACCAAGATTCTCGCACTCTGCGCAATCTAAGCACAAAACCCCTAAGAATCCTAAGCAGGGTCTTTGACTCCCTTCCCTATCTAGTTACTCGTCTCGCTCCGTTCTTCGATGCCTGGTGAAACATCACCTCAGACAAATGGGTGCTCTTAGTCATCGAATTCGGTTACCTAATTGAGTTTCTTCAAGTCCCTCCTTTCTCCCATTTTGTTCAGACACCTTCATCTTCCGTCCTCCTTCGAGAAGTTCAATCTCTCACCGTTGCCATAGAACCTGTTCCAGCTTCCAATCAACATCAAGGATTTTACTCCCGGTATTTCACGGTTCTGAAGAAGGACGGCGGCCTCCATCCTATCATGGACCTCAGGTTTCTGAACCAGTTTATCGTCTACAAAAAATTTCGAATGACCACTCTTCAGAACATTCTTCCACTCCTGTCACCGGGAGCTTGGATGGTCAACCTGGACTTGAAGGATGCGTATTTCCATGTTTCGATCCACCCTTCGCACAGGTGCCTTCTCAGATTCACTATTGGGGAGGCACATTACCAGTTCAAAGCTTTCTACGGCCTCCAGGGTCGTCATAGTAGCACATCTCCGTCTCAAAGGAGTACAAGTGTTCCCGTACATAGACGACTGGCTACTGGTGGCAGATTCAAAGGATACACTCCTTCGCCATATTGATCTCACTTTGTCGACCCTTGCTTCTCTGGGAGTCCTAGTGAATCTTCAAAAATCTATGCTTCAACCTGCAACCCAAGTACAGTTCATTGGGGGCATCATCGACTCCGTGGACACACGGGCTTACCTGCCTCTTCAGAGAGCAGAATCACTTCGTCACGCAATTCAGATTCTGTTCCAATCGAACCAGACCACAGCTGTTCATATCCAACGTTTGCTTGGGCTCATGGTGGCCACTACTTCGGTCCTAACATGTGCCCGACTTCGCATGCGCCTGCTACAACTTTGGTTCCTCAGGAAATTCAAACCTCAGAGACATCCCCAAGACCTGCCTATGATGGTTCCTCCTCCCATCCTTCACTCTCTTCAATGGTGGCTGTCCGAGGACAATCTGTTTGCAAGGGCCCAATTCCAAATTCCCGCTGCAACAGTATCGATCACCACGGATGCCTCACTGTGGGGATGGGGTGCTCACTTGAACGGGATGTGTGTAGGGGCGCAATGGGAACCTCAGTTCGCGAATCGCCATATCAACTACTTGGAGCTTCTGGCAGTACAATATGCCCTCCGGACGTTCCGTCGTACAGTAGCGGGGAAGTGGTCATGATTTTTACGGACAATACCATTACGATGTCAATCGTCAAGGGGGCACGGTATCCAGAGCGCTTTGCCGGTTAGCCTCAAGCATCTGGGAAGATTGCCTCAAGTGGAATTCGGTTCTCCCGGCTGCCCATTTGCCGGGACTCCTGAACATCCTTCTTGAGCAGAGGGGGAGCGACGGAACACGAATGGGAACTCAATTGGAAGTACCTTTTGCCAATTTTTGACCGCTGGGGTCATCCACAAATAGATGTTTTCGCGACTTGCGACAATGCAAAATGCCCTCTGTTTTGCTCAAGAGCAGGGATCAACCCTCTGTCCCTGGGGGACGGCCTTCTGGTATCTTGGACACCTCATTTCATGTTTCTCTTCCCACCTCTCCTGCTCATTCATCAGGTCCTCATCAAGATCCAGCAGGACAAACCCCGTTGTCTCCTGGTGACCCCGTGGTGGCCCCGTCAGCACTGGTTTCCTCTGGTACTACATCTATCCAAGGGCTCCTTCCTCCACTTCCCTTGGGTGACGGATCTTCTTCTTGCCCAGTAGAGGCAGATTCTACACCACGATCCTCTGAGTCTCAGATTAACAATTTGGAACATACTCTTTCCGTAATCAGTGACAGGGTAGATAACGTCCTTGTCAACTCTCGAAAACCCTCCACTAGAGCTTCATATGATGGGAAGTGGTCAAAATTTCTGGATTGTTTGGCATCCCTCCGACTGCCTCTTCCTCCATCGGATTTGAGGTCAATTTTTGGTTTTAATTTGTCCAGGCTGGACATGGGACTTAGCTTTTCCTCTGCTAAAGTCTACCTAGCCGCGGTGTCAGCTCACCACCCGCTTATAGATGGGTTTTCAGTTTTTTCTCACTCACAGACAAAGCAGTTTTGCAAGGGCCTCATCCAACTTTACCCCCCTTGTCGTGAACCTACTCTGGCGTGGGACCTGGCTTTAGTTCTCACCAAATTGACTGGTTGGCCCTTTGAACCTTTGGCCACCTGTAGTTTAAAGTTGTTATCATTGAAGACAGCATTTTTAGTTGCCATCACCTCTGCTCGTAGAGTGAGTGAATTGTCTGCGCTCCGCTGTGACGCTCCTTATCTGAGTTTTTCCCCACACAGAGTTTCGTTGGCTTTGGACATTTCTTTTCTGCCTAAAGTTGTGTCAGAGTTTTGTGTACTGACATCATTCTCCCTACGTTTTTTTCCGTCCCCTTCCAATGAGGAAAAACGCAGATTGCATTGTCTGGATGTTAAGAGGGCGCTCTTATTTTATTTGGGCAGAACTAAGTCTTTCCGTAAGTCTCCGGCGCTGTTCATCGCTCACAGTCTACCTTCCCAGGGGAAGAAGCTGTCTTCGCAGCGCCTCTCTAAATGGATTGTGGAGACCATTAAACTTTGTTATACGCTGGCACAAAAGCCGCTCCCTGGACAGCTTCGAGCTCATTCCACGTGGGCAGTGGCAGCGTCTATGGCTTTCCTGCAAGGTGCGTCACTGGAAGATATCTGTAACGCCGCAACATGGGCTACTCCTTTCACCTTTGTGAAACACTATGCTCTTGATGTATGGTTCAGCCGGCGCACGGCAGTGGGTCGAGCGGTGTTGCAGACAGCGCAGATGTAGGGCCTTGGCCCCTCCTCCAGGTAAGCGTTTACTGCTTGCTAGTCTCCCAAGGGTGTGATGCACAGAGACCACGAAGAAGATAGAGAGGTTGCTTACCTGTAACTGGTGATCTTCAAGTGGTCATCTGTGCATTCACACCACCCGCCCTCCTTCCCCTCTGCCCTCGGCCCTTCATCTTATTCTTTTTAGGCTGTTGGGCGGCGGTCAGAAGGAACTGGCAGGATCTGCGTGCCCCTCCTTGGTCATGCGCAGTGGAGCCCGGCACGTGACCAGGGAATGGGCGCGAAAATCCCTTTTGCTTTCTAACGGTACCGAAGAGGGTCAGTGCAGGCGCTGGATATCCCAAGGGTGTGAATGCACAGATGACCACTCGAAGATCACCAGTTACAGGTAAGCAACCTGTCTATCTTGAGTAGCATTTATCAAACATAACTGGGAATATAAGGAAGAATGCAGACCTGACAGGGCTATTACATATGCTATAAAGACACCTGTTCTTTTGTAAGGGTGGTGATGGGCACTGGCTGAGATGGCTTTAATGGGACGTCAGACAAATTCATGGAGAGATAAATATTCAGAGGCAGTATGCCACTGAATGCTAGTTCCTGGCATGCAACATCAAGAGAGGGCTGTGCTTTTGTGCCTTTGTGCTCTGCTTGTGGGCTTCCCAGGACCATCTAGTTGGCAATTGTGGTGAGCAGGATGCTGGACTAGATGGACCTTTAATCTGATCCAGCAGATATTTCATATCAGAGGCTCATAGGAAGAGAAACCATTGGAGGGCCTCAATGAGTGCTACACTGAAATAGCTGTTTTTAAGAATTAGTTCAAACTCCTGCATTAGTGACTCAGACTATTGGTTTCAGGGAAAGTGTGGTATATGTTCCAGCTGCCCTTTAAGGAACCTGATGTCCCTCACTTAAAACCGCATGACTCTTACAAAGCCTGCAAGAGACATGTCATTTTCATTATTTCAATATTATTTCAGAAAGTTCTTTTCTCATGGTGACTTTTGACTTCTGTTCACAGATTTGTTCAGTTGGGGCAGAGTCAACACAAGCAAGACAAGACTCATCAACAGCTGTGTTCTAAACACTTAGATGGGGTTATAAATTTGTAAGTACTGTTCCTTCTTTTGTTATTTTTCTGTCCATTGTCTCTTTCAGCATTAGTCCCTGTGTCCTTGTCTCTCTTGTTAATAGTGATTCATAGTGGTATTTGTATATTCAACTTAGAACCCATAATTTTAAGCACAAATTTCAATATGTAAGGTACTTTGGAACAGTTGGTAAAACCAACAGTGATATTTTTTAAAAAGTTACTTGTATTAAGAAACATACATCCATAAATTCTAATTCTCCACAGGAAAACAGTACCCTTGAACCATTTGCACAAATGTTAGTTTCTGTTATGACTAGGGAATGTGATGTGCATAAATATTTATTTCTTATTTTATTTTACAAAAATTATACCCTGCTTTTCTGCCCTCATAAGGACCACCAAGGTGGCTTACAAATTTTAAGAAATATATATAACAAGAGGTGGACCCGCGATACTCGCGGGCGGGGGAGGCCCCAGCTTGAGCGCGAGGCCCGCGCGGCTTCTGGCCGCCGGGCCTTGGTGCTCCCCCCCGCCCCCAGCTTCAGCGCAAGGCCCACGCGGCCAAGCCGCCGGGCCTCAGCGCTCCCC